TGTCCGCTTATCGCGAGCTTTCACGCCCACTAATGCGCCGTGCGACTCATGTTAGTCCACGCGCATTCCCGGGCGGTTCCTCTTGACTTTTGGTCCACTCCGCGCTCGTCGTGAGCGCGAGTGCCGGGGATGTTTCTACTGCACAGCTGGGGCTTACTTCCTTCCTTCACGTACTCAAAGCTCGGATGGCATCCCGCCAACGACTACGGCCCTGTCTCTTCCGCTTCTACGCCCAGTCATTACGACGCGTACAACCAGCTACCGACTTACTCTGTCGTACCGTCTCACTCTCTTCATGGCTACGTCACCGGCAGACATTGCGGTCCGATAGCCTCGACAGCTACAGTTACTCCGCATTTGACGTCGTCGTCATCTGCGCTTCCGAGAGTCTTCGGCACTCTCTTCGTCATCGGTCGGGCTCCCTACTGGCATGCGGCGGGCTGCACAAGTTCACGCCGGATTCTCTGACCCTCGCAATACTCTCGAGGCCGGTCAGTCCCTCAGGAACACGCTACGCGGCAGCAAGCAGTGGACTTGACCCCACTCACCCCGTCGCAGCCTGGCCTAACACCGACTCATCTCCCAGGGGAGCATTCTTCCAGGGAAGCATTCGGCATCCTTCCCCGGGGGGGCTTTCACGCCATCCAACTCACCAATTTCATCTCAAGAACAGAGACATAACACCACGTAGTTTTAAGCAAAATTTTCCGCCGCCGGAAATAGTTGGTTTGCAATGAGATCAATTCGATGCTGCGAATTCACCAATGCTGGAGGACCGGCTCTCGTCGCGTGGCTGATGGATACTGCGGGGATGCAACCGTCTACTGAAGGGTGTGATGTGAGGCTGCTGACACTAGGTAATCGAACAAGTGGGGCTCGTGTTCAGTTTCTTGTTGCGGCACGTAAGGAGGCCATGAGGAAGTTGATTGAAGCAGGCAACAAGGCTATGGTTCCCATTGACGAAGGAAGTCCATTGAACCAAGATTTCTCCTGGTTGGAAGAATGTTCCAGAATTTTTATGTGCCGTGCTGAAGAAGGTCAGACTGATCCTAGGGGTGAACAACTGGCAATGCAAGAACTCCGAGAGCATCTACAGAGCGTAGACCCGGATAACAAGTTCTGGGAAATTGCGGACCGCATTTCCCGGGATAGTGTGGGTCACACAATGAAAGAATTGGAGACGCTTCAAGCTAATGGTATCGATAACGAGTCACTGGAGATTACTAACTGCAGACCTCTCACCCGGCTGCAGCTAGACGACTTGCGCGGTAGGGTATCCGAAGAGTGGCTGCCGATGTTGGAAGAGCTATCCGGGGGGTTAGAGGCCGAGAGCGGTCGCTTCCGGATCGCGTGTGCCATTAATCGACGTTGCATAGCTGCTACTACAACCGCTCTCGTTGTTGCCGGGGTGGCTGCGTTGGGACTGTACTTTGGGCTTAACTCGCGAAACATAGATTCTAATACTCGGGCATCAACGTTGAATACAACAGGCAATATTATGACCGATAATGTCACAAGCATTATGACCGATAATGTCACAAGCATTATGACCGATAATGTCACAAGCATTATGACCCCCAATACCACCTCGAGCGATTCGAGTCTTTTGGACCTCGTCTCACAGGTCTCTGCGAACGTGAGGAACCTACTCGGGAGCACTACAGCCGCAGATGTCACATCTACTGAGCGGGAAGTCCTTGTGTCGACTCCCTTTGACGTTAGCCAGAAGACTACTACCAGGAACAAATCAGACGGGGCTTGGCAGACGAGCGACGCGGTCACAATCCAGAATACCATCCCGCACCGTCCTAGCCTCGTGGACCTCGTCTCACATGTCACAACGATGACGGTCAAGAGAATTTCCGAGAACACAGTCGTAGATAATGTCACACCTAACATGAGGGACTTTGCGACGGACATCGCTACCCAGATGACGATGGAACTTATACGGGAGTCTACCATGGGCACTGGTGCCAACAAAGTCGTGACCGAAGTCAGCTCGATGAAGCCTCTCAACGTTTCAGAAGAGTTGGACTTACGTAAGTTGACCGAACTTCTTAGCGTGGATCCGACTACTTGGCAAAGTGTGAAAGAAGGAGTGGGCCAATATCCGTGTGGTGGCCTTAGTGGAATAGTGCAATGTAACCCCCCTAGCGGCTGGTATCATTTTGGCGGTGCGTGGAGGTACGACTTTTTCGCGGTGAAGGAAGCGATCAGAAACCTTCTAGAGGGCGGTGAACATTGCGAGGTGGCGTGCGATAGTACAGATGAAAGATCCCACGCCTTGTGGGATAAAACCAGCGAAAATTTAGACGGGATCGTTAGCCGTGGCAATTGGCAGCTGGCGGACTATACATGGGAGCCCTCAGAAGCGAGTGAGTATTTCAAGAAAATGCTTGACCTCCGCTATCCTGTCTATGAGACTTGCATAGGGTCGTGTGTCGATTGTGTTAACGATGCGCGTGTCGCGAGCTGTCACTGCGATTTTGCAAAGCTCCGTTGTACAGCTAAGGCTGGTGAGAACCCCGACCAGGAGATAGAGTCTATAGGTTATAACACCACGCTGATGAGTCTGGTTCGATTCCTAGCTCCGTTCAAGACTAAGGATTTATACAAGGTCATGAACTGCAGGTTTGAATGTCGCAACTTGAGACAGGATATTGCTGCCCTTGCCAAGAAAGGGGTGGACATGCAGATTATCGAGACGGCCCCGGCAAAGCACACCTCTCCACTGAGAGAGACTTTGAGTAGAAGGGAGTTGGCGGTACTTGAGATCGGAGGGTGCGAGAAGTTTCTTGATAACACGGAGATGGGTCACCAGCTACCGCGGGTCGGGGCAGATCCATGTGACGGTCTAGATGGACGGATCGCGTGTAAATACATTACGGGTCCTAAGGGGTGTCTTGAAGCGCTTCCTAGACTCCGTGGTAACAAGTGCTGGACGCATAGCCACACATGTTACCGTTTTGGTCCTCAATGGATGGATGTCTTCGCGGTGCAGGACGCGATAAAAAAATACTATAAGGTTGTTGGAAGCTGTTATGCACAATGCGACCCACCCACGCTCACTAATAATCGTTTGTGGAATGAAGCCGACGCCGTCCTACAGAACGTACCTGGTTATAACAGCTACCATGATTACTACCCTATCACCCTTCGTTCCAAGCCCAAATTCCAACACGCCTTCCCTTCTCTGTATCCAACCGAAAAAAGACAGGTGCTGGACTGCCGCAGTAACAACTGTACAGTGGACGACATGCAAGTCTGTCGCGTAGCCCGCGCTGCATGTAATACCACTAGCACACACGACGGCACCTCTGGGGTAGCTGAATCCATTAAGTTCAACGCCCGCCTCCAAGACGCGTTTAGGACGCTATCTATACCCACCGCTAATGCCAAAATCAAGGCCATTAAAAACACTCAATGCACTGCCGAATGCTACGGTGAACTGTGGCCAAACCCGGATCAGTGGCCGCTTCAAAATGTGAAGGACATGACGGAGAAGTAGATTCCCCTTTTTTCCCCACGACCAGCGCTCCGTAAACACAGGTAGGTGGACCACGCGGCCGAGCACCAGGAGCACCAACCACCGAGACGCAACAATGTTGCGCGGCTGTTCCAGAGCTATTAGCCTGCACTGCCCCTTGCCTTGGATCTCGGTGACCGCATAGGGTAGCAACCAGCTGGTCTGACCCTACCACGGTTTTGCCACACCTCTCGCGGCTTACGTCGCAGAAATCTCTGTCGATCGTCGTGTTATATGTACTTGCGGGCTAGCAACAGCGTGAAGTGCATGACAGGTCATCAGCACGCCTACATAGCCGCTGTCAAAAAGTCGATTTTCTTCCACGAGAGCACTCGCGTCCGCGGCTCTGACTGATTCATAATACATGCCGTATTCGGCCACTGAGGGGATCACTCACACCGTGCACACTCTCAGGGCGTGCGCACACACTTTTATGTTTGATGGAGATGTTTCATCAAACAGGCCATCGTCATAAATCGATTTAAAAAAATGCTTTGAAACTTTTCCGACAGAACCAGTGGCGGTTTACAAGTGGTGTTGGGCGTCACCGGTAGAGGGTGGCGATCCGTGAGGCATGTCTCTTGTCAACTTAGGCATGTCTCTTGTCATCTTAGGCATGTCCCTTGTCATCTTAGGCATGGCCGTGTGAGGCATATCTCGGGTGCCGGGATGCGTTGCCAGAGAATTTCCGCTCAGGTTCTCAGGGGTCATATCAACCGTGTGTTCTCCGTTTCCACTCCCAGACATTCTGTTATACGACTATCCAGATGGAACACAGTCTGTGAGGGAATAATGCGACGGGCGGTCGCGTGTCCGTGAAGCAGGTATGTGGGTGCGACCATCCGCTATCGCTCGTCGAGGTGCTCCCGTCTGAGGCTTTCGAGCTTGAACTCCCTCTCCCTGCTGTTGCTCATGTCGTACCCGGCAGCCGTAATCTCTACTCTTTGAAAACCCCGCCCTGGATGCGGCCCAACGAGGCGAGCCGTTTACGTCTTTGCCGTCTTTACGTTCACGCCCCACGGCTCGCCAAGTGAAGGGAGGCAGAAGCTCAGTAAAGATGCGCCACTCCTCGTCTTGAGTGGCACCCTGCCGTTGTCGTTTGCGACTGTGTTCCTTGTCCAACTTCTCTGGACCTCCACGTACTGTTCCGTGAGCCAGCGATGCAGCGGGTCCTTGCTCACCGCGAACCTCCGTACCGGGAGGCGATCCGTACCAACCACCGCAACTATCTCCCCAGTCACCGGTGAGCACTCCCTTCTCGTAGTCACCCCTTCTCAAAATACTCAGGCGTACCCCTGTAAAATTCCAACTCGACCCCCTTGACGATTGCCTTCAACGAAAATCCCGGCTCATTCCCTTGGCCAACGACGGCCCCACAGCGTCGCAGTCCTCAACCAACGGTTTGCCGCTCGTCCATTCGACTGCACAGGTCCGGACCTGTCTCCGTTGATCGTCTGCCTCAATCTCCTCGTTAATGAACTGCACCGCACGCAGGCAGTCACGCCTTGATCGGTCATGTCGTCCGCCCCTACTCAGCTACCGCGTCCCCCTGGGTCCGACCTAACGAGGCGAGCCGCTTAGGAAAAAGTGAATACTTTAGCGGGTCAAGCATTCCGAGTGGACTGTTCTAGACGAACCCAGCCTAGCTATCAATACCGCCTCCGACCGTTCGGCGCCTCTGCTCTCTCCTCTGGTTTGTGAAGCAAGTAAAGGGATGACTCTCGTGGGAGGGACTTGAGCCGAAGGCGACTGCCTTAAGGTCACAAGGGTGGCGGCACGAGATAGTTCGGAACCAACCGCCGAACCAAGCGACGTAATGTGGAAGACTATCGTTCCGCCAACTAAGCCCCGTTACAAAGTGGCCATTCAAACCTCACGGATCTCTGCCGCAATCGAAGCTGGAGCAACTGCCACCAACATATCCATCAGCTGAATAGTACGAGTGCGCGGTGCGTGGTAGGTACGAGTGCGCGGTGCGTGGTAGACGCTGGCGTCCAAGACATCGCAACCTTCAGCACTAGACAGGCGGCCTGCGCTGTCAACGATTGAAATCATCAGGCT